AGGGTGATAGCACTGTTTTGATGTTTAAAATCTCTAGACATGCGACATATGAAACCCATAGTTTTCCTACATTTGCTGGAGATATCCGCACAGTGTACGTTAAAAGAAAGTTTGGAGTCGTAAATGACACCCAGGTCTCGTACTTCCGCTAGACGCTGCAAGATGTGGTCATTTGCGGTGTATTCAAAAGTGATTGGATTTTTTGCACGTGTGAATGTAATAACTGAACATTTATTCACGCTGAGATCCATGCCATTCAGTGCACACCATTCCAGCAAAGTGTTGATATCAGACTGTAACTGGTTACATTCTGTGACATTGCGAACACGAGAGAAAATTTTCAAATCATCCGCATATAACAATGAGTGGTTCAAGAGTTTAGGAATCAAGTCGTTAATATATAATATAAAGAACAGTGGACCGAGGTGAGATCCCTGTGGGACTCCTGAGGGTATAGATACCCTGTCGGAGTTGTAGCTTCCGAGGGTCACAATTTGACTCCGGTTCACTATGTATGATTCCAACCACCGCAAGAGGCTACCATGAATCCCCCAACAAGTATCCAATTTACAAAGCAATATTCTGTGATTGACTCGATCAAAGGCCTTCCTAAAGTCAGTATAGACACAGTCTACCTGTACATGATCGTTAAAAGCTTCAGAGATGTAGCTCGTATATTCAAGTAGATTGCTGACAGTCGATTTTCCCTTCACAAATCCATGTTGTTCCGGACGTATAAACGGTTGAATATGATAATACAACTGGTCATACACTAGAGACTCAAACACTTTTGCGAAAGTAGATAATATGCTAATTGGTCTATAATTACTGCAGTCAGAAATGTCTCCAGCCTTATGAATTGGGACTATGTGAGCTAGTTTCCACCTTGCAGGAAACACACCTGATGATAGGGAGGTATTAAATATAATGTGAAGGGGTACCACCAGGGCCTTGGCACAGTCTCGAATGAAACAAGGGGGGATAGCGTCAGGGCCTGCGCCCTTATTCCGATCCAAATTTATCAACTTCCTGTAAATTTTACTCTCAGTTATCGAGACAGTGGACAGAGTTTGGTTAAAAAGAGGTAAGTCACAAGAAATACTCACCGGGCTAGCGCTCTCCTCCACGAAAACTGATGCAAAGTATTTTGAAAACATGTTACTTATTTCACCTCCGTCACTAACAGTTTCATTCCCTAGCTTCATGGTTTTCGATATTGCGCGGCTGTTTCTTTTATGCTTAATGTAAGAGAAAAATAATTTTGTAGTGGTCGCTAGAGATGATTCAATACTGGCTATGTAGTTACGGTAGCAATTTTTTATAAGTTTTTTTGATTGAGCACGTAATACGCAAAATTCGTCATAATCTCGAGGGTTTTTGAACTTTTTATATCTCTTGTGAACGGCGAGTTTCTTTACGAGGCAAGACTTTAAGTGATTAGTATACCATATTGGATACTTAACACATCCAATACGCTTGGTAGGTACATTCGCCGCAATAACTCTGTCCAAAACGTCGTAGAAGCGATCAGTTATTATATTAATATCGTGATCATTCAATAGTTCGAACCAATCTACGTCATTCAACTGAGCAATGCAGCCATCAGTTTTACATTTACGGAAATTAGGGATTCTCTTACTATCTGTGGCATGACTTTAGTTCTATTAGTTAAGATTTCTATTTCAATAGCAGGATGATGGCGGTCAGGTGTAGACAACGGCAAACAGTCAGTAACGACAATACTCTCCACATCAGACATGCAAAGATCAAGAATCCTACCATTGTCATTATATACATGATTGTACTGGTGCAATCCAGTAATATCTAAAAATTGGACAAGCAGGTGGGACTTAGTGTCGGTCGCGCTTCGAGGTTGCTGACGACAAGGAAATGTATCGTCGCCCCTCCAAGTAACACCCGGTATGTTAAAGTCGCCTAATATTAAAATCCTTTCGTTCAATCCGGAGTGGTCGATCACGGCATCCTGACATCTCTCAAAGAACCTGCTATATTCCTCAACACAAAGGCTGGGTGGTAGGTAAACCAAGTAAATATATAATGTAGAACCTCCCTCACAGCTCAAGGATATCGCTAGATCCTCGTATGGACTCTCACGGTCGCCATGACGGGACACAATAAAACTTCTCCTACATGCTATCAGGACACCCCCACCAGTCTGCTTTCGAGAGCCAGTTGTTTCTCGATCTCTCCGAAACACAACGTACCTGTCATCCACAAACTCACTATCGCAGAATGAACCATCGAGATTAGTTTCACATAAACATATGATATCATAATTCTCATTTAGTATGATTGTTTTTTTTTGTTTTTAAATCTTTAAAAACATCCGCTATTTGTTTTCCCTCCTTGTTTTTAAAATCTGTCGTGCGTTAAAAGTACCTATAAGACAAAAATTTAAAAGTAAGTAATAATAATCTTTATTAATGATAAAATGAGTAAAATACCAAAAATGTATCTTAAGGCTTAAACTGCCAACAAAAACTATTAAAGGCTAATCCCGCTAGTGTCGGCCATCATTGTCCGACACGGCGTCCAATGTGTTAAAGCGATGTAGACTTCCTAAAGTTTAGATGCCTGTACTAGAAAGCCCTGTATAACAAGCGAGGCCCTGTATCTAAGTAATTTTGAACATGCCCACAGAAAGGACAGTTCACATAATGTAGATACGTTTAATAGACCTATAATTGAATTTATTGTCCTTTCAGAATTTACTAAAATAAACCCCAAATCATTTGAATACAGCAACCAGTTGTTTAAACATTATCTATCTATTATAGTGCTTAGTACCTATGTGATCATATTATATATATAAGAGCATTTTTCGTCTCATATTCACTATTCGACATGCATTAATCTGACTCTAATCTAAATCGGATTGATCGCCATCATTGGAGATGGTTGGTCTTAACAGGCAGCCGAAAGGAAACTTGGCTTAATGGGCCAATGACCCCCAATTTCCCGAACCTCCAACAATACTCAAATTTCTAATCCCCAAAAGGTCGGTAACGCACTTATCACTCTGGTGTTTCGGGTGTCCATGGGCGGCGCCGATTGCTTACCATCAGGTGATCCGCCTACTCGTTTCCCGACTTATACAAAAAAAAAACCACTTAGGAAAAAAAGTGCGCATTAATGTTATAGATTCAAAAATCAACTGTTGCTTTTTTGCTCCCTCTCCTCCTTACTCAGTTAATAATTTTAGTGAAACGTTTATACATAAGAGTGAGACAGGAGATGTCTCCTTAAAATACGTAATTGTACCAACAACTATTAGACAATATCATCAATCAAAGCATGGGAATGACAAAACATGTATAGTAAAGTAAAAAACATAAAAAATATAGGTACCGTTTTTATTTTACAAAATAATGTAATTAATAAGACCATATCAACTTAAATAATAAATCAATAAATAAGCAGTCCAAGACTTAAGTATGTGTTAAACTTCTTTGATGTTATTTAACATTCATGTTGGTATCATGTATTATAGAGCAGTTTTCTGAAATGAAAGTATACAGAAACAAACCTTGGCTATTAAAAAAGAAAAAGTAATCGACTTCCTGTTATTCACAAAAATGTACTTAAACTACTTTCAATTCTTTCAAGGATTGAAAGTAGTTTCATATCTACATTTATTTTTTGTATTAAATCCTTTTTGTTCTGTCACTATTATTTTTTACTAGCTTTTACCCGCGGCTTCGCTCGCGTCACAAAAGGATAAAAAGTAGTCTGTGACATATACCAATACTCACAGCGCCATCTATACCAATACTTTTGTTTTCCCTCAGGACAGAAATATCAATTTTTTTCGGGATAAAAAGCACCCTATTATTTAATCCGGACTTCTTACTTTACGTCTGCAAAAATTCAAAGCAATCAGTTTAGTAGTTCCGGCGTGAAAGCGGAACAAACAAATAAACAAACTCACTTTCCGATTTATAATATTAGTAAGGGTTCGTTTCCTTATTTTCTACAAGTACAAAATAAGTAGTTTTGATACCATTTCAATTTTCTTGGAGCGTTACATATTATTGAATTGAAACTTTAAACACATATGTGGTATAATTCAGAATTCTTTGTATAACAATTCCTAATATTGTAGTTTTCTATAGTGTTTGTAACAATGTGGATGCTTACTAGATTTATTAAGGAATAGACAATACGTACTTGCAGCAGCTTGAGAAAATGTTGTCCTTAATTTTAATTGACAAGATTTTAAATGTTATCTATTTTTATAACGATCACTTTAAGTCGTAGACAATAAAAAAGTCGTTAAAGTTCCAACTACAACAATGACTAATTTAAATAAATTACGCATAATTACGCAAATTACGTTCGTATTTAATGAAGCATCTTTATATTAATTAATTTGAATAAATTAAAAAAACGGCTCGACATTATTATAAGTATTTATGTATGTATAAAATTGAAAATGGCACTACTAAACATTTGCTTAACCACTTTGGTCCGAATTATTTTATTTTATACTCTCAAAATACTCTACATAAAGTAGTTATTGCTTTGACATACTTACTACGTAGCTAAATTACAAAATAAATAAATTATAACTAAGTTATTTTCCTATAAAATTTACAGAGACTTCATTCGATTGGAATCATAAATTCGTAAATCGAGATTTATACTAAGATCTGATAGTCACGTAGCTGTGTTAAATTGGTGACTTTATCGATAGATTGATGAAACTTCAGCCAAGACACATAATTAAAAAAAGTTAATATATGCTTTTTTACAAGACAATTTGTATCTGCATCTCTATTTTGTTCTGTGACACAATATCTACAGATCAATTAAAATCTCGACTTATGACATTTTGTTCGTCATTTCCCCCTATAAAAGTTATTTTATACTACCTTCTAGTGTCGTTTAATCGGAGACTAGAACTGCCAAGAAATCCTTATTATTTCTTGATGAAGGACCAGCTTTTCCACTTCGGAATGCTGCTGCGCCTACCCCTTTACTTCTGCCCACAAAATCGGGGAAGGGGAAGTTAGGGATGCCTCTGTGTCTAACATCCAACAGACCGTCACCGAAATACTGAAATTTAGAACGAAAAGATTAACTTGCATTTATGTGAAGAACAAGTATATTTAATACACAGTTTCAATTTACATGCCGATTTAAAAATAAAGCCAAGGATACGCTAAGGAATAAGTTTTGGAGAGCCATGCTTCAACGCGAATGGGCTGGCTCGACCGAAGTGATACCACGGCCTCACAGAAAACCGACGTGAAGCAACGCTTGCGTTCTGTTTCGTCGTGTGAGTGAGGTTACCGGAAGCTCAATTAACATCAGGCGAACCGTCAGCTCGTTTACCGTCTTATGCCATAATAAAAAGGGGATAAATGTCCTGCGACACGTTTCGCCAGCAATGTTGGATTAGGTAGCGCGTCGTCCACATGTCTTGCAACATCAACGTCTCTGTGGACTCGTGTCGCCCGATGTTGCACGACGTTTGTCCGTAATGTATCCTTGGCTTAAAATACTTTAAGTTATTTTGTTAACTTGAACGAACTACGAATAGGAATAGAGCGTGCGAAAAGATATCTTTAAGATACTCTACTTACAGGTTGTTGTTGGAATCCATTTAAAGAGTTAAACCCAAAAGCAGAGGATGCACTCTGGCTTTGGCTTCCACCTCCGAAACCACCTCCAAAACCACCTCCAAGGGCCGAAGCTGATGAAGCAGCACCTGATGCTGACAGACCAGAACCACTGAATGAAGCGGCTTGACTGCTTGCTTGACTGCCGCTGAAGCCGCTGAAAGACCAAAAAAATATTTGATATGAAAACTAAAGAAATGTCTCAAGAGTACCAACCTTCATTCATATTATACCTTAGTTTCCGTGATGATTAGAACCGACTTTAGTTTTGAAATTGATTAGTTTATCACCATTTAACCAATGCATCGAATAATGAAAACCTTCTCTTGATAACTGTTAATCGCAGATTAATATGAAACAGTATTTATCCCTTGCCTTTTTTTTAAACTCAGATCACTGAGGTACTTATCAACGCAATCAAATATCTATGACTAAATCTATAAAGAATTTATGACATACCTACTATCGATATACTTGTAAATAGCAAAATTTTTGACAATACCTACGAAGAACGTAATAAATTTCCGTCGATTCAACTTTTTTAGCACATTTTTTGAGTTGACAAACAGAGTCCTTTATGATAATGTAGTTTTTCATTTGTTTGGACATGCTGTAGGTCCGCATTCTTAACTCATCAAACGTTAATATACAATGTAGGTAGGTAAGTACAAAGTGGGACTGAAATATTGAGTCATATTCGGGAAGTCCAATCTCCTTAACCGGTTATAAATATTTGGGTCACCTTGACCAAGACTGTCCGTCTACTATCTCCGGTTAAAATTTTACATAACACTTACCTACATTATTGCCTAAATGTAAATGATAATTATTGGCAATATAAATTGATTGATCCGAGTTAATGAGAATTCAGAATATTTAACATTTGTTTAAAAATTGATAAGGCAAATATAAACATTATCTATTTGTTCACACAAGTAATATTTTAAAAACTCAAAGAAAAGAATTTCTATGACAGCAAACTCTTAAAACTAGAGCGCAATATTAAAAATGTAAACAATAAGGTGACTGACCTTCCGAATCCATTGAACGACGACGCTTGGCTGGCGGAGTGCGATGCGCTGAACCCTTCATTGAACCCGAACGAAATCGACTGGGACGCGGACTGACTCGTACCCAGACCATTTGCACTGCTGCTCACACTCGCTGTCAGACCTCCAGTCCCTGATGGAGCCACATTGAAACCTCCACCAAAGCCAAATCTCGGCTTCACTTGACCAGGTCCCGCAGCACGCCTCTCATGAGGCAGCAGAGTACTCGGATCACGCTCCAAATGTTCCAAAACTGGCAGAACAGGCGGAGTGATCACAGGTTCCAATTTCTTTTCCCGTCTCCGATCATCCGGGAACACGAAACCGTCTGCCGGCGCCGGCAGGACGATCTTCAGCATAGAGGCGAAGCACAAACACGTGTAGATGAACCTCATGGCGTCTTCTGGTGACTACGTGGGATTGACGATGTATCTTGTTTTAATAGGGTCGTACGAGGTCACCGCCGGTGTTGGCATGCGGCACGCGCCGCAGCCTTCAGAAAACCCACTGCGCTGCGCCCGAGACGACATCCTGCCAACTATCCATCCCCCCTCTACAACTCATGCCCATAGAACACGTATTCCTTTTAAAATTAACGACTTTATTGTCTCCATCGCGTTTAGCGTCGACGGGAAAATTAGATGTCTAAGGTGCAGCTAATGATTGGGAAATCCATGTGTCCTACTTTATTTGTACAGTTAAACAACCCAAGCACGTTTGCATTGTGTGGATAGCCGCGGAAGCAGATCAGCTAAATGTTTTATTCTACTGCGCATTTTGTTATTTCGTTGTCTATTTATTTTAATTCAGAGACATTTATAAAAACACAGACGAAAATCTAACGTTAGGTCCATTATTATAGCAGACCTAATTGGTTAATTATATTAATAAAAGAATAAATTATCAATTTTTATTATACGGAATGTCAGAGGTTACGCATAAAATGTTGAATTACTTAAAAAATTAAGCATTCATTCTTTCCTATTAAGAATATGCTAAAATGTAGCGGTACTTTGAAACGTGTTAAGAATTCAAGAATGTTTAATCTTTGTCAGCAATCAATATATTTCGGTAAACACTAAAGATATGTAATATGAACTTAATCCGTGTAATTTGGAAATATATACGTATACTAAATTGATTTGTGTAATACATAATACGAGAATACCTACATAACAATACATATTGCATCATTTTTTTTTCATACAGATATTTATTCGATTCTCGTCTCTGTCGGTATTGAAAGTCGAGTTACTGAGTACATAACTAATACTAACATTAAATCAAACAAAAGACAAAAAGTTTATGTAGATAAAAACAAACTTTTCTACAAAAATATACTTATTTACGAATTGGTTTCCAGAACTCTGAATAATACTAGTACGTAGGGAAATGTCGAAAATATACGCTAAATAAATAAATTTTCCTTTCTTCTAAAGTTATTTTAATTATTATTTTAATGTTATATGTTTATGTTATCTGTGGCAAGCTGGCCACTTTCAATTAGGGAAACCTATTTATGTTCTTTTTTGTTTAAAAAATATATGAGTGTGTTTCTGACTAGCTTGTTTAATTCACACGATAAATAATATTTGCATTATATATTGAAAATATATAACAGTGGTTATCTTAAGTAGTACCTTTAGATTTAGTAATAGTTAGTATTTATTTTATTTAAGTTTATATTATTCTTGTATATCCATCATTAGTCTATCGATTTTTTTTTCTTTACCGATGTTCTGGTACCTTGTACATAGCATTATTTACACCAAGACCTGTAAGTACACGTCGAGTTATATTGTCATAAGTAGCAGTTATAATGCAGATTACCCTATACTATCATTAAGTTTAGGGTTGGCAATATTTTCCATTGTAGAAAAAAATAAACCTGTGTGGTATGGAGGAGTAGGAAGAACTGGCGATGAACATTATTTTGATTTAAGTCATTTGGAATGAAGAAACCAAAAATAAGGTTCGGCCAGTAATTAATATTCATATACACATGGAACCTTTTTTGCTAATTATTGTCTATGCCTTACAGGTAATTGTTAAAAGAGGTATCTCAAATATTGAGAAGCCGCACCAGCAGCTGTAGCCAAATGCCATTTAGCGCTTGTCTACATGTAGAATAGAAAACCAAATTCTAGGGAATTGACGTAAATTTTGACACGTGTCAGTGTCATCCCCATACATTCAGTTTTCTACTCTCTCTGTAGACAAGCGCTAAAGTGGCGCTTGGCTAAAGGCACTAGAGCTTATAGTCATGACTAGTATTGCGGAACAACATAATTAATTGATATTATGTCTCATGATAGCACAAAAACTGTAATTTTTAAGAATTCCATGTTTCCTAAAGCGAATTGACAAGTCTGTTATATTTATCTATTTTATAATAATCGATGATTTACATTGCTAAATTCTACTAATGATGTTTAATAAATGACAGAATGTCAAGATTAGAAACTAAATATTTTAATCGATTTTATTTTTTTATAGTTTATCGGAGAGAAGTAACGGTTTCATTTCTATTTATATTGATTGTTTATCTAGTTTGGAATATTATGTTTTTATAATTACCAGGTTGGCGATTTATTAAAGAAGGGCCTAATTAAAAGTACCCTTAACTAACGACCATGCATGAAAAGATTGATGACTGTTTATGAAACGAATGAAGTATGTAGGAGTCATAGCAATTGGCGTTCCATAGTCTCTGCCCACCCCTATGTGAGACAGGCGTGAAGTTATGAGTGTGTGTATGTAAATAAAAAAAATCTCGAAATCAAATGCGGCTCTGCTGATCCAGATTCAAATGCCTACTTTCAAAACCGTTTTCAATGGCTTTATTGATGATTTTTTTTATTTCCTATCCCAGTCAGCTAGCAGTTTTTGTTTGCCCCAATTATAACAATTTCATGAGATAAGGGACTCCAGCACTGGACAATTTAAAGGACCAGGCACTGTCTTATAGATGACCACTAGGCTGATTTTAGTAAGGTCAGAATCTTATACTCAGTATACTCTATGGTAGTCATAGTGTCGCGGAGAACGTAACGGGTTACCGGGGCTCCGGCCCGAAGCGCAGGAGAAGGAACGGGGTGGTTTTTAGTCAGTAAGAGTCTGACACTCCCTCTCGCCTCACCCAGGCGGGAGCAGTCATTCGATGATTTTCCCCCCTTAAAAAAAATGGTAATCATAGTCAAACTGATGTCAATTGAAGGTTCCCCTCAGTTATAAAAAAAGGATTATGTGACAGCCCTAGGAATAGTGTTCCGAAGTGTAAGGTGAGTGTGAACAGGGCCGGGGTCACACGTCCCGTGTCACGGTCGGCGATCATGCACATTATCGCCTATATACATACGTACATGTCGATCTCATTGTAGATTAATCGCCGGTCAAGTTGAGTAAAGAAAATGAATGTCAATTTCTTTGGAGATAACCGTGGTAATTTCAATGGTTTCTGGTTTTAATTATTATAGTGGTAGATATATGTTTCCTGTAATGAAATCATTAATGTCTCTTTCAATAATTCTTATTTACAAAAAAAGTGCGTGTCTGACTCTGTAATTCGTATTATTAAAATTTGTCTATTGACACATAACATAACATTCATATAACATCACGCCTTTTAGCCTCAAAGGGGTAGGCAGAGGTGTACATTATGCCACAATTCCGGGCACAATTCCAGACTCCGTGCTACTACTGAGAATTTTTTAAAAACGCAGTTATACTTTGCCCGACCCGGGAATCGAACTCGTAAAAAAAACTTAGTAGTAGCACGGAATATGGAATTGTGCCCAGTATATAGCAATAAGCTCGTCCCCTATTGCATGGGACTCATAACATAATAGTGAAAAGTGGGTGGTACATTGTACAGTGGCATTACGTGCCGTAATGTGCATCTCTGCCGTCTACTCCTTCGGGGATAAAAGACGTGATGTTATGTCATGTTGTACAATATTATAAAAGAAACTTTAAAACAGTTTGAAAGTACCTACTTAATCAATCGTAACTGCTTTAGTATTTTTTTCTGTTACAATATTAAATTATTCTTCATAGGTTTATATACGTCACACCTAGGTACATACATAGATCCGGAACAAATCTTTTACTGGAATGGAATGAAAGAATCATTCAATGATTGGTATTCTATTTAATTATTTACGATCTCACTTGTCATTTCCCATGACGCCAAAGTTGCGTGAATAAACAAAACCTTAGTTTTTTTTTCACTAAATATCAACGATTGTTGTAGCGTATACCTGTTTATATTGGATTTTACATTTTTTAAAGCTTTGTAGATAAGTGACGTGATTGTTAAGACAAGTCACTTAGGTCGTTTACTTTTATGACATCATGAAATAACGTATTATTCGTATTATTATTTACTTTATGTTTATTTCCCTTGAATTAAAACAGTAATTAATGTAAATTAACTAAAATCGCGGGTTACTCACGTGAAATTACTGAGAAAATCTCTACTAGTTTCGAACCATAGAGAGGTTCTTTCTCATGAGCAGCGAGCGCGGTCGCAGCGATGTCGCGCAGCTCACTGATTTTCTTTGATTTAGTATGTCTCACGATAGTTAGTATAAAAGTAATTAAGGTATCTTATATTACCATGCATATGACTGCCTCGTTGGCCGAGTGGTCGCAAGTGCGACTGCTGGGTTTTTAAAAACCTCAGTAGTAGCACGGAGTCTAAAAATATGCCTGAATATATGTCAATAGGTTCACTCCCTATTACATGAGACTCATCCATCACATAAATAGTAAAAAGTAGGTGTTACATTGTACAGTACAGTGGCATTAAGTAATGTGTACTCACCAAAATCGCATTTATGTAAATTTTTATTTCTTTGGTCAATTTCAACTCTAATTATTATGTAAACGATATAAAAATACAATATAGACAATGCTAGTTATTAAATATTTTTCAAATAAACGATAGTCTTATGAGTCATTACGAATGTTATTGTAAGTTAATCGTTGTGAAAGGCGTCCTGAGTTCTCAATGAGTCACCACAGATGATATCAGAGTTACAACCGTTTTGTACTCTACTTTATATTTCGAACTAAAAACTGAGAACAAGATTGGCCAGTTAGAATATACCTATGATATAACCAGAATACATTTGTAAGCTAACTAATGTATAGTACACACGAGCAGTCGACTACACTGTAAATTAAATGGAAATGAAAATGAAAAATCCTTTAATAAAGAAATTGGTAGAAATTGGGTAATCGTGTTTGGAGACTTTTTTTAGGCAAGATGTGCATGGTGTTCGGTGTCCTCGCTCTTCCATAGCATTTTTTTTACAAAATCACCAATAACATTGTGTTTACAAGTATATATAAATGTGTATTATTAAAAATTAATAAAAGTTTTTTAATATTA